AAAACCCAAAAAAAAAAAAATTATACCTAATGAGTAGTAAATTTTAAAGGAGGCAGTACATAAAAATAGCCAATCATTCTTCATTGCTATGAACAATTTGAATGAATTGAGCCCCATTGAAGTGTAATCATTGGGAGCATTCATATAGCAGACCCTAATGTTGTTTGGTATTAGGATAATTGACTGATTGATCGAAACTTAGAAACATAATATATGGATAACAAAGTCACGGATGCCAAAAGTCTAAAACTAGCTGAACTTGAAAGTAACTTTAGTTCAAGTGAAGGCGAAAACTTCATGGTCCGAAAAGAGAAACTAAGAAGGAAAAAAAACTCACAACTGAAATGATGGACTTGAAAGCATCTGCTCATGAATTCACAACAATATTTGGAACATATAAAATAATAAAATCAATTAGTAATAAAGCATGGCCAGTCGACCCAGTCACAAGCTCGGATAAAGGAGAGCATGTTAGATTGTCCGACTTAAAAGAAGTTCAGCAATGAGTAATCCTCTTAACACTAATGGGTCATTTGGTTCATTTACTAGTTATATAAATATTATAATATAGGGATAAGTTATACGAGTAATAGTGCAGGAATATTTTCTACAACCAAGAAGTCCATTGTCCGTTAGCTGATCCAACCCCAGTTATGCACGCAGTTTCTAAGTTCAAGGGAGTCCCAACCCTATACCTGCTCCCACTTAAATCCCAAGCTTCAGTCAGTGACATAAATCGACCTCGTGGCGTGATCCTAAGTCATACTTCAGGCATCGAGTCCTTATCATTGAAGCAAAGCCGTGCAGTCAATAATGAAAAAATTATAATGAAGTGAATGGTAAAGCATTATTATATGGTGAACAATAATGCATGGAATATTGTGCAAGGATTCCCTGCTTCAAGGGCATTTTTGCCTTTAGATACTCTTAAGTCTTATCCATGTTTGCTAATAAAAGTAATCTAATTCCACATTCCTTTTTTATTGATGGTGGTGACTAGACCAGCTTGAAGCACTCGACCACTCAACCAGGTAGTTTTGTTCCACATTCTATCTCGTGAATAGTACATAAATTCACTCACAAACTTTGCTGGTATTAAGTTTAGCACCGCCAACAAATAATACAATGTTTTGCCAAGATTATCTTTTTCTTATGCAACCACCAAATATATCATTAAGTTATGCACACCATCAGTGTAAGGACCTTTTACACTATTAGGTCAGCCAACAAATATCTACTGATAAGCCACCTTAAAATGTGAGATTAGTAATCTTGAAAATAAGATATTTTACCCGCTACAACAGGTAAAGATAGGTAAAGATGACCTCCCAACGTTAACATGCACAAAATAACTTCATGCGTAAAATAAAAGAAATTACAAATAAACGAACCCACAATTGAAATGAAGGGGGTTTGAGGCAACACACCTGAATACTTGCATTTGCGAAGCATTTGCTCAAGAATTCTGAGGCAAACGATGTCGTCATCAACCACAAGAACTCTTAACCCTACTGGAAACGTATCTGTAGCTTCCGACTTACAAGTGGCACCATCGCCACTCATACTTGCCATTGAACACCAACAAAATAACAAAACCCACCTTCACAAAACAGCTAAATTACATAATTGCCACTGAACTACTACCATATGACAAGTGATCCACTGGTGAAGAAAAAGGTTTAGATCCAGAGCGGAGCTGAGGTATAATAATAGTGTACGGAGAGCAAGGGAAGGTGAAATTAGGTTTTAATGACTGAGAAATGTGGAGAAGAAGAAGGGCAGCTGGGGTATGGGGTGGGGGTTTTAATGGGGAGGGGGTGGGTGAAAGAGGAAGGAAGTCTTAAATGGGGAAGGATAAGTGTATCGCGAGAGACACGCAGAAAGGAAGCTGCAGAAGACTTGTGTCTTTTCTTTTTTTATTGTTTTTGCTTCTATTATTACAGAAAATTACCGTCGCCCGCATAATTTGAAAAAATATTAATCTTATAAAATTATGATCCGATATATCATATTATTATACTCTCACTATTTCAATTTATATGAATTTATTTTTTTTATTTTGTGCCAAATAAATAACTTATTTTTTATTTGAAAACAATTTACCTTTATGCAATGATTTATAATCACACAAAATATATATGCCTCATCTTACACCACAAGTTCAAAAGTCTTCTTTTTTCGTAAACTTTGTCCCTAGTCAAATGGTTCACATAAATTGAAACGGGAGGAGTAATAGTAGTTGTTATTTTATTTTTTAATGCAATGTGTAAAAATATAACAAAATATATACAAAATCAAAAGAAACAAATCATATGACAACAACAACAACAAAAAATTAATTCCATAAATGGGGTCTGGGGAGGATAGTGTGTACACAGACCTTACCCCTATCTTATACAAATAGAGAGGATATTTTCAATAGACCATCGGTTCAAAGAACAATAGAGATAAAGCAACCAAGTAGCAAAGAATAGTAACAACAATGTAATATGGTAACGGGCGTGAATGCCACATCATGTAATAATAAAGAACCATGAATAAGAAATTACAAAATAGGTCTAGTACTGTTAGTAAGCCTAGGAGGAACACACTACTATCTGTCAACCTACAACCCTAATCTTCGACCTCCACACCTTCCTATCGTGGGTCATATAGCTGAACCAATAATATGTGCTGCCTAATTACATCTCCCCAATACTTCTTAGGCATACCTCTTCCCTTTCTCAGACCCGCCATGGACAATCTCTCACACCTCCTGACCGGTGCATTTATATCTTCTTCACATGCCCGAACCATCTCAGCCTCGATTCCCGCAATTTATCCTCTGCATATGTCTCTCCTCTTCACATGTATTACTCTTGTAGCAATCAAATACATTATTTGTTTCTTATTTACCCTTTATTAAATTAGCAAGTATTTAGTACCCTATATTTACTAATGTGATTTTTTATTAACTTGTAAATTGGCATAATAATTTGATATCACTTCTCTTTTAACATAACACAAATATAAATTTTCTTACTCTTGAAATATTTTATATTTTTAAAACTTATGCTATACTGTTCAAAATCCTTAAATTGTCTAAATTTATCAATAATTTTCTTGAGTGGTATTTACTTTTTTTTTGGTAAAAATAACTTCCTATTTAACCAAGAAGTTCATTGCTGTTAATTGTTCAAGATGAAGGTTGGTCCAAGCTTAGCTTGTGCAGCCATGGAGGTCGTTGTAAAGAGAGAAAGAGAGAACAATTTAGAAGAAGGAGAAACAAAAAATGGGAAATGAAACCTCAAACTATTATTGACATCTGTAAACAGTGTATATACACAGTCTAACTAATTAACTAAAACTAAATGTCTAGCCTAGCCACTTTACATCTAACTAGCCACTTTACATAATTAGACAATAATCTCAATACCCCTCATCCCCTTAAGTTGGTGGTATGGAAAACATTGCCAACTTGTGTAGAGCTGCTGAATACTTAACTCCTTTTGTTAGAACATCTGCAAGCTAGTATGTTGTTCCCACATGGTGCAATGAAATCAATCCCTCATGTAGCTTGCTTCTTACAAAATGGCAGTTAACTTCTATATGTTTGGTTCTCTCATGGAATACAGGATTCCTGGTTATATGCATAGCAGACTGACTATCACAGAACACTGCAATGGGCTTGAGAACATGTGATGTAAGTTCTTCAAACAATCTGTTGAGCCACACCAGTTCTCCCACTACCTTTCTTAAGGCTCTGTATTCTGCCTCTGCAGAGGAGAGGGAGATAGTATCCTGGTTTTTGGACTTCCAACTAACTGGATTGCTCCCCATCAACACAAGGTAATCACTCACAGATTTTCTGGAATCTGGGTATGCTTCCCAATCTGAATCACAATATGCTCTGATTGTGTAATCTTGATCCTTAAACAGGAATTTGCCCAAGATGGGGTCCCTCTTCAAGTATCTGAGCAGATGGAAAGCTGCTGTTAAGTGAGGCTCTCTAGGGTCATCCATGAACTGGCTTAAGTGTTGCACACTATAAGCTATATATAGTCTAGTATTGGTGAGGAAATTGAACTTTCCTATCAATTTTCTGTAGTAAGTGGGGTCTGGCAACCTTTTTCCTTCCTTAGCTTTAAGTTTCACAGTGGGGTTCAATGGAGAATTGAAGTTGTTGTGATCCATGCATCAGTATTCTTTCAACAGGTCAAGAGTAAACTTTCTCTGGGAAATTATTACACCATTATCTTTGTATAGAACTTCCAGTCCCAAGAAGTAATGCAGCCTTCCCAGATCCTTTTTTAAAGCTATTGTTCAAGAATTTTTTTAAATCTATGATCTCCATAATGTCAGTTCCTGTAACTACAATGTCATCAACATACACTGCTATGTAAACAAAAGAGTGTTTAGTTTTCTTGTAAAATAAAGAGTAGTCATACATTGAATGTGCATAACCCCTTGAACATAAAGCTTCAGTTAGTTTAGCATACCATTGCATGTTTGCATGTTTTAGACCATAGAGAGATTTGTTGAGTTTGCAAACCAAACCTGGGTTGTCAACTGCTAAACCCTGTGGGACCTCCATGTACACCTCTTCATTTAGATCACTATGTAGGAATGTATTATTTACATCTAGTTATGATATGTACCACCCTTTCTTCACAGTTATAGCTATTAAGGATCTCATATTTGTCATCTTAACTATTGGGAGAAGGTTTCTGTATAATCAATTCCAGCTTATTGAGTGTATCCCTTTACAACCAGCCTAGCTTTGAGTCTTTCTACACTACCATCTACCTTATGTTTTATTTTATACACTCATTTACATCCTATGGCTTTCTTCCCAGCACGTAAGGGAACTAAATCCCAAGTGTGGTTGGCATGTAATGCTTCAAACTCTTGATTCATAGCTGTTTGCCAGGCAGGATTCATAGCTGCCTCTTCATAAGATGAGGGTTCACTGTCACTGCAGATATCCCTTACAAGACTTTGACTCTCAGGATCAAAACATCAGAGGTGATATGGTGGTTGTTAGAAAATAGTTCATTAAGAGAGAAAGGTGTAACAGAACTATTGTGAGCAACAGATGGTAATGGTCTTAGTGTAGGGAGTGAATGTAGGTAGTCTTGTAAATATGCAGGTGTCTTAGGTGGTCTTTGTGATTTCCTTAGGACAACAGGTGTATTGACAGGCTGGTGGGCTATTGGTGATGAAGTATGGCTTGAAGGTTGAAGTGTTTCAGATTGTGGCAAAGAGTTGGAAGGACTCTCAGAACTAGTATTGGACTCAAAATGTTGGGATTGGTCATGTGTAACACTGGTGCCATTATCACTATCATAAGCAAATCCAGTGCCTTCTTGAATATTATCAATGAATAGAACAGAGATGAGAATGGAGGGAAATGAGAAATTATCAGGGGATATAGCAAAGGGAAACACATTCTCAATAAAGACAACATCCCTAGAAATAGATATCTTCTTAGTGCCAAGACTTAAAACCTTGTACCCTTTGACACAATAGGGATAACCAATGAATATGTGTGGGGATGTTCTAGGTTCAAACTTGTCTCTGTGCACTTTTGATACAAAAGGATAACATAGGCATCCAAAGCTTCTCATGTGAGAGTATGTTGGCTTTTTTATGTGAAGTAGTTTAAATGGAGATTTAAGATGACTGTGGGAAGAGGGTAATCTATTTATGATATAGGTTGCACACAAGATGCATTCACCCCAGTATCTTATATGTAATTTTGATTGGAATAGAAGTGCCCTGGCAATTTTCAGGAGATATTTGTGTTTTCTTTCCACTATCCCATTCTGTTGAGGTGTATAAGGGCAAGTCTTTTGGTGAATGATGCCTTTGGATTGGAAAAATATATTTGCCTCTATACTGGTGAACTTTGAGCCATTGTCAGACCTGATTATTTTAACTTTTGTATTGAACTGGGTTTCAACCATAGAAATAATGTTTTTATGATAGCATTGGTTTTGCATGAAAGAGGGTTAGTCCAAGTAGACCTACTGTAATCATCCACCAGTGTAAGGAAGTATTTATAGTTGTCATGGGTTGCCACATGGTAAGGTCCCCATATGTCTATGTGTAGTACTTGGAAGATTTTTGTGGAAAAAATTATTTTCTGGGGAAATGGCAGTCTTCCCTGCCTGGCCATTGGACAAATGGAACAAAGAAAGAGTTGTTTTGGGGAAAAGAGACAGGGATAGAGGTAATCCCTCTCATTTTGACAAAGGGTACATGCCCAAGTCTATTATGCCACAGAACATTTACATCATTATTAGATGATACATAGGAATTCAAACTAAGATTTTTATTATTCAAATATAGAACATTTACAGGTGAAGGAAGAGATACACACTTATTTGTGGACAATGAACTATGTACAGATGAATCAATATGACAGTGTGAGTTGTGTGTGCAGTGAGCCTTATTATCAAGGCAGAAGAGTGAATTACTAACAACAGAACCTGAATACTTGCTTCTCAGACATTTTGCGCAGAGAAGGTACAATCCATCACAAGCCTTACCAATCTCCAAAGGCCTCTTCATTGAAGGGGCCTGCAAAATACAAAAGTTATTAGTGAAGGCTAGTGTACTTCTAGGATTCACACTGGTTAGACCATGAATGGAAATTAGATTGTATTTGAAAAAAGGTACAAATATTACTTTATGTAAAATGATATCAGGTACAAGTGTTACACTATCAATTTCTGTTACTTTCACTTTATATCCATTTGGTAGGACAACTAGGAGTGGATAAGGTAGTATTATGATATTAGTTAGTAGGGACTTATTGAAGGTCATATGGTTTGACGCCCCTGAGTCTAAAATTCAGGAATCGGTCTTGTTTTTGAGACATTGACACGACAATTCACCAAAATCTATAGAGGAAGTACAGACTATTATACCTGCAAAGTTTACAACCCCATTGATAGGATTGATGGCAGTTGCATTCTCTCCTTCATTGCCAGCTTGAAAGTGTTGGAGCAAAGTCAGGATCTGTCCATAGTGCTCCTTTGACAAGCTGATGTTCTAGTCTTCGTTCAAATCGTTTTGTTCTTCTCCCTTGTTGTATAGCATGTCAGAAGACTGATTTCCATATACATTAGCCACTATTCTCTTTACTTTGTTAAAATTCTGGTTGCGATCGAATCCCTAATTCTGGTTGAAGTTGAATCCCTGATTATGGTTGAAATGTTGGCTTGGATTGTGATTTTGATTGCGGGGATATCCAGAATTCTCAGGGTAGACATGTAGTTTGAAACATTTATCCTTGGTGTGCCCTGGCTTTTTACAGTAATCATATATAGGTCTTCCCTTCCTTGTCCACTATAGTTGTTGTTGTTAGGTGAATAGTTAGTACTATAGGTGTTGGGCCTAGAACTGGCAACATTCATAGAGGTTGATTCAATGAACAACTAAGTGTGCGACTTGATTTCCCTCTGCTTGCCATCTTGTATTAGGAGAGAAAAAGCTTGAGCTAAGTTTGGTAATAGATTCATCATGAGGATGCTTCCTCGAATCACAGTGTAGGTTTCATTCAACTCCATAAGAAATTGTATTAGTCGCTTGTCCTGCTCAGCTTTGTAGAAGTTTTCCTTTGCACCATAAGTACAATTGCAAGTGCATTGAGACTTTTTACTCAAGGTGCTCAACTCTTCCTAAAGTTTCTTCAGTTTGGTGTAGTAGTTGGTAATGTCAAGAGTTCCCTGAGATGTATCGTTTATTTCTTTTTGAATTTGGTACAATCTAGCTCCATTTGTCTGTTCATACCTATCTTCTAGTTTGATCCACAACTCCATAGCATCATTTGCATATTCAACACTGTCTGCGATCTCTTTTGACAGGGAATTAAGAATCCACGAAGTCACCATGTCATCACAATGTTCCCATTAACGGAATGTGAGTGACTGGTGATCTGGGCGCTTGCATTCGCCATTTATAAACCCTAGCTTGTTTTTCACTGACAGACCTCACAACACACTAAGCCTCCATGAACGATAACCAGCACTACTAAAAGGAACGGAAACAAGCATAGCACCGGGATTTTCCGATGGGTACAAATACAAGGGATCATCTGGATCAATTCCGAAAGTTCCTGGAACTCCGAAATGCACATCTGTGCTAGACACATCGCTCAAATCATCAATATCCATTAGTGATTAAAGTTAATTGTGTGAGTATTACACTTTGGGAGAAAAATCCCCTTCCCTGACACTAAATTAGGGCAAAAAATAAAACTGATTCAGCGATCGATTGATTTGGGGAAAAACTCAAAATTGACGGATACAGAGAAGATGACAGAGAGATGATAGATCGAAACAACAAGCTCTGATACCATGTTAAATGTTCAAGATGAAGGCTGGTCCAAGCTTAGCTTGTGCAGCCATGAAGGTCGTTGTAAAGAGAGAGAAAGAGAGAACAATCTAGAAGAAGGAGAAACAGAAAATGGGAAATGAAACCTCAAGCTATTATTGACATCTATAAACAGTGTATATACACGACCTAACTAATTAACTAAAACTAAATGTCTAGCCTAGCCACTTTACATAATTAGACAATAATCTCAATAATTACAAACCAGGAATTCCTGACCAATTCCTTTACTATGTATGACAATTCAGTACTCTACTATCTTCTACTTACTAGTAAAAGTTTTGATTAGTACAAGATTTTGATGCCATCAATATCCTATACGCATCATATTGACTATACAAGTTTGCAGAAACTTACATTTGACATAACATAGAAACTAAAATAATAATATGGAAACCGGTTCAATGCCTCTAAGTGCTTCTACCAGCTGGGGTATAAGTTGCCTCTGATGTGTATGTGGACTACAATCTCTCTACAAAGTCTATCTGGGGATGAGGTGCCACTCTGAAATCTGATCTTGTTCCTATCTCTCCATATATACCATTATTCCAAAGACAATCGAGATAATTGTCACATAGCCTTTATTCTTCCTGGCACACGTGAACACCCAATTTATCTCTTCCTGCCATTTAGTTATTTGCCTCGGACATCCAAGCCAAGTCAGTAGCCTCTGCCATAATATTCTTTGTATAACCACAGCCAAAGAATAAATGCTCGAACTATTCATCATCTAGCCCATAGAAAACACAAGTTTGGGGTACTTGAATAGCAAACTTCTATAACCTCACGATAGT